TTGGATACTTTCGGGTGTGAGCTCATCCTCCTCGATGCAGACACACAACAGGCTTTGAGTGACCCAATCCAAGAAACCCTGTGGGTTAACAGTCATTTCCACCTAGTTGTTCAAGAGTGTGTTTCCAGAGGTATGACTGCAAGGAACAAATTCGAGGGGAAGAGTATGAGGACTACCCCAAAGCAATCAGGGTCCCTGCCAATGCCGCCGGAATACTCCGGCCAAAGCTTTCTCCTCTGTCGCGCACCTTCGCCATGTCAAAGTTGACCCTGGACTTCACACGATTGACCGAGAAGCCTGGCGATATTGCCATTCGCTGCAAATGGTCAAGCTCCCTTACACTGTTGTGGCTGTGGAATATGCTGCTTTCCAAGGGTGTTTTGCGCTAGTAATGGTTGAAATGCCCGGCTGCGTTGCCTTTGGTGTACGACTCTTCTCTGAGTGTTGTGCCCTGGAAAAAGTTTGGCATCCTTACCGAAGGCGCATGCAAGCTTGCCGAGGGAGCAGTAATAGGGACGTATGCCTTTGAAAGCTGTGGTAAGCTTGAGCAGATTTCCCTACCTGGTGTCAAAGCGCTGTCCGATACCATGCCTATGCTGCATCCCCCTGCAGGGATTCCGCAGGGCTGCTTTCATACGTCTGGTATCCGAAGTGTTATGCTAGGGGGGGATGTAGTCTTCATTGGTCATAGGGCATATGAAAAACTGCAAACAGCTCGCCGTGGTTGACGTCTCTCACACGAATATTACCACCCTGCACATGCATACCTTCTCGCACTGTTTACAGCTGGAAAGGGTGAGTTTGCCACCCTGCCTGCGAGAAATCCGAGCTGAGGCCTTTGTTGGATGTAAGCTTTTAGGTAGTCTTGCCCTCCCAGAACACCTTCGCTACATAGGACACAGGGCCTTTGGCGAACGCAGTGAGCTATCCTGCCTGCACTACTGCAGACTAAAACGGGTTACTTGGAGGCGCCCGTATGCTGCCTATAATGCCTTCGAAGCGTGTTACAAGCTTGCTACCCCTTGGTGGCTCCACTACCTACCCCCAAATGGAACGGATTGGATGGTGCCACCTAGCCACCATACTTGACAACAGCACCCCCTCAACAGCTGTATCTTCTCCTTCCTCTTCTTGTTCGTTCTTCCTTCTTCTGGTCTTGCGTCTTCTTTTTTCCTGCTCTTTGTTTGTTTCTTATTTTTCCTGCTTGCTTATCCTGTTATGAAGAATCCTAGCGCCAATCTAGCGCTGCCTTACTGTATCACCATAGTCTGCCAGTCAGCTGCTTATTTTTCCTGCTTGCTTGTCTTCTTCTTGTTGTGCATTATTTTTCTTCTTCTCCTTCTTTGTCTTCTTGTTTGTTCTTCGTATTTCTGGTCTTGTATCTTCTTTTTTCCTTCTCTCTGCTCTCTGCTTGTTTCTTCTTTTTCCTGCTTGCTTATCCTGATATGAAGAAACCTAGCGCCAATCTAGCGCTGCCTTACTGTGTCACCATAGTCTACCGGGGGGGCCCGCTTCTAAACGAAGATCTTGCACTTCTATTAGTTTCTTATAAATTAATTCTTACTTATCACTTGCTACTTAATGCCTAGACCACATTCATCAACAGAACCTCAGACTCAGACCTCAGATTCTGTGATTCCCTGAGCAGCTCAGCTCAGCCAACTGATTTAGTAAATGTGTTGTCAAGTTGTCTTTTCTCATTTTCTTCTTTGCGCCTTCTCTTTCCTGTTCCTTCTCTTATGTGTCATTATGTTTTTGGATTCTCATTTCATGGAGACAGGAGACACGGAGAATATGCATTTAGCCTCATTACAATCAACTGAACCTGGTCCATATGAGTTTATAGAGAGGTGTGTGTGACCTGCAAAAGTTTGACGCCTGGTTTGTGCTTTATACACCTGGATACCGTGAACCTGGGTTCTGATTTCATGTAGAATGTAAAATGTAGTTTGATGTTAATCAGCTGAAACTGATCCACATTCCCACCTTGTGTTCCGCCATGGCGTTTGCGACCCTAAGTTTAGTACTTCACTAAGATTCCACTGCCTTCATTTCATGAGCATTGTTCATCTTGCTTGATTCCCGTTCTTTTTGAACTTTTTTGACTCAGTGTGTAAAAATGAATTTCACAGACTTACACCAAACACCTGACTTTTTTTAAAGAAACCCTAGTGGCACCCAGGCGTCTGAACACCCTAAAACAGTAATATTTAATTTCATTCGCGAAATTTGTCATACTTTTCCCCCTTCTTGCTTAACCCTGTCAAAGGCACACCAAACTTTATCCACTTCTTTTCCACGAATTTTCAATATATATATTCCTCCCGTTTTCTTTTCAAGTTTCTCTCAGGAAAGCCGGTTCAAAATCAAGCACTTACCTTTTCTCACCATGCATGGTTGGATTCGTGGCTGTGCTTGGGCGTATACATTGCCCGAGTGAAACGTATCTTGAACAGCTTCTTGGTTCACTGTTTCTTCACCCGCTGTGTGCACAACCTGCTGGACAAGAGTGTCAACGCAGTGTCAAGTCTCAAATCTTGTGAGTGATGCACGGTCATGCCACAGCGACATCCACTCTACATTTACTCCAAAGATGGAATTCGGTGAAACTATTGGGAACCCTTGCTCTCAATTGGCTTCACCTCAGCCACAGAAGGGCAAGACAAGTGGAACGCTAGGCGTAACGCTGCTGAGAAAAGCACTCACGCTGATGGCAATGTGAAGCCATAGCAATCTGTCCTCAAAACTGGAGGGAAAAACACAAACTTGAAGTGTGGTCAAAACAGCTGTTTCTCGACCCAAACTCAGAGGCGGCAAAAAAAACAAAAAATACATCATAAGGTCGTAACATTGACATCAGTTTGAAGCCCTGCATGGTTAAAAGCTGCTCAAAAGAAAACACCAAGTGATGGGCTCATCCGTGTCGCGAAGGCTTGCCGACATCTTTTCTTCTCTAATCCAACTTCCATCCTGCAAATCCGCGGTGAGCAAACTGGCAAACCACAATGCTGCAAAGGCAAGTTGAGACGGTGGTGTGCAAGGGGTTGGGTGAGGTGTTGTGAAAGAAAACAATTGGACAAATTCACCTGACCAGCGATTGACAAAAGAGTGAAAAGTGAAAAGGTAGCAAAGACATTGCAACGCAAAGCGCTGAGCCGAGTGAACAAAAGCTGAGAAATTGAAATACAACTAGCAAACGAGTTGGTGGCATAAACAGCGGCTCGTCCTGTTGGCTAAAAATATCAATTTCATCTGCATCACACTTCACTTTGTTCGGCTTCTCTGCCTTAATTGCCTCACGGCAAAACAACAATAACCACCATGCACTTGCACACGCGTTGAACAAAACATGTTCTGGCTTTCATCGCTGCCTGCTTTGTTTGTCTTCTTCATTCAACGTTCACCAAGGCACAGCATCAAGTTTGATTGAACAACAACAAGCTCTGAGCTCTGGACTTTCTTAAGGTCATCCACCTTTGAAATGAATCAAACTGAGCCAAGGGCTTTGTATAGCAACGTGATGACGACTTGAACGAAGCATGCGACGAAAGCATGGGGACGAACCAGCAAGAAGGGCACAGCAAAGCTAAGGTCACTGCGTCTGCCAGCTCTCCGGTGACTTTGAACGGGTTGCCAATCTGCTCGAATGTATCACCGTCCTGCAATTGCAACAGGGGGTGGGCGACAGCCAATGGCTGCGCCTTTCGATAAGCAAGTGCAAAAGAACAATGCGCATGACAAGCAATGCATTACGTAAGAATTTTGACCTTGGGATGTGAAAATGGCTGAGGGAAATTTCTTCGTGAAGTTTCAGCTGAACAAACCACTTCTGTTCTTAACCTACCACTAGTCAAAGGCTTGAAAAGGAACAAAGGCATAAACTGCTGCATTGACTTTTGCAAATTACAAGCCTTTGATGCTTGAGTGGGAGAACTGACGGAGCACAACCCTACTTTTATTCACACGACCAATCAACACCGGTTTTCGCACAGGAACTTTGCAAAGGAAGAAACAAAACGAACATAGGGATGTAAAAACAAGGTTGCTTGTTCAACAGATGCAACTTTCAACTGTCAACGTCTGTTGAGGTGGTACTTTTTTGGCTTTTCGTCAAAAAGTTCTTCCTACACCTGTCAAAAGGGCATAGCAAAGGAACAAGGGCATGGCAAAACATCATACAAAGTCTTAGACTAAATCCTCTCTATCAAATTGAGGAAAATGTTGAGAACATATCATTCAACAAATCCTGAGGAATAAATACGCTACTGCTAGTATTTTATGCATAAAACATTTACTTCCCTCAAAAGAACATGGCAAAGGAACTAGCAAAAGGCAAAGAAACCATATGGTTTCCTTTTCCTAAACTGTCACCAGCACGCAACACCCTTTTTGCGCGCGATGGCTCAAACTCAGGCGTCCTTATGCCGTTCCCTTTGCCCATCTTGGGCTTCCTTCCCCCCTCAGGAATCCGGACCCGAAACGCGTCACGGATCCTTATTGAGAGGGTCAGTTTGGAGTGAGGTCTGCCGTGATCATTTTCTGTGCTACGCCTTTGGCAGTCTCTCGCGCCTCCCATATGTAGGTTTGGAAGCTGTCTGAGGCCCATCGTCCCCAGCGCTTCACTAGGGAGGTGTCTTGGTACTGTGCCCACAGGGCACTTGCCCCACCGAACCTCAGCGAGTGAGCGCCGAGGTCCCCTTCCGGGAGTCCCAGACCTTTGGCTGCCCTGACGGATTTCACAACACACACCTTTTCCGCAGTGCGATAGTGGTTTCTGACCTGTCCCCGATTGTAGATGTCTGTCTTGGATCCTCGCACCAGAAGGGTGACTTCGTCAACTTCGCTGATCCGGTTCAGCGTCACGGCATTGCCATTGAGCTTCAAGGTGACGTCGGACCCACGCAAGCCTTTTCTGGGATCTTGGTACCCGACATCAAGGTATTCCGAAGCCCGAAGTAGGAAGAAAAATCCTAAGGTGAGGGCGCCCCAAAGGAGGCTAGCTTCCTCGGCCCTTCCATACTGCAGATGATCCCCAAGCCATTTCAACATGTCTGGAGTCACGGGCATCCGTCGTTCCTTGGTGCCGAAGCGCCGTCGCAACCCGGCCAGGGCAAGCGGGATCCTTGGCATGTGCATCAAGAGATCTGGGTAGTATCCCAACGTCAAGTGCATGCTGCGTATGGCGGAAAGTCGCAGTTTGATGGTGCCCGGTGCTTTGGCTTCATTGGAGGCACAGTGGACCAGGAAGTCGATGACCAGTTGTTCCTCTTGACGGCTATAGGCCGGAACATATCTGACTGGGTCTTCACCCCTTCGTTTGCAGAAGAGTGACCACCAGCCCCATTGCGACTGGTAGCTGGCGGCTGTGCTCTGCGAGTACCTCGAAAGTAACAGTGAGAATCCTTCTTGGTCGAATTCGTGCCGTCCTTGAACTTGAGCAAACCTAAAGCTCTTTCCCGCGGGGTGCCTTCTGGCAGCAGCCCTTGGTCCACCCAGGAATGGCACGTTGGGTTCTTGCACGACTCTTCAACCTTTCTTGGGGAGGCTGAATCTCACTTTCTTTCTGGTTCCGCCGACTTTGGTGGCCTCCAAATAGACCTTTGCCGATCCTCCTGGGTGGTTTGACCCCCATTTGGAAAGGAGTCTTCTGATGGCCAAAGCCACGGCTAGTATAAATGCCAGCAGTAGGCTGTCAAAAATCATTCCTGAAGCCTGATCGAGATCCCACTCGGCTTCAAGGGCGTCTCCAGGACTCCTCTTCAGTCCTTGATCAAAATTGCTGAGGTTCGGGACGGAAAGACCTCCGGCCGAGGAGCTCCCCTCGGCAGTCTGGTGCGCGATGGCGTGATTGCGGTCACGCTCAGCGTCGTCCTTGGTATGCCCTTGTCCCTCACGCTTCCGCTGCTTCTTGATCTTCTTACGGCTGGCGGTGTCTGGCGCCCGCTTGTTCCAATTGCCCTCTCGTCGAGCCTCGTTCTGGAGGTCCGCTCTGAAGGTTCGAAGGTCTTTTTGGGCTGCATCATGAAGCGCTTTGTCCAACACCTTACCGGCTTCTGCAGGATCAACATCCAACAAGGGTCCTGTTCCTGGTCCCTTCTCTGCTCGACTCCAGGCGTCGACCTCCTGTCAGTGCTGAGCCGCTCTTTCTCGTGCCCTTTGGGCTCTTCTGGCAACCCAGACGGATCTCCCCGCCTCAATCTCTTGCTTCAGTCGGTGATCAGAAACAAGCGGAACCCCAGTCCTTGGACCGACGGGGTTCGCGAGCTCAAGTCGTAACATCTGATCGTTGAGGCCTGCCCGGTAGTCGGTTTCTGCCTCGGTGTAGTGCTTGACCCTTTGGGCTCGCTCTTCGGCTTTGGCTTCAGCCTCCGTCTTACTCTTGAGTCTTGCCTCCGCCAACTGGTTGAGACGCTCCACAAACTCCGACTTAACCTGAGAAGCTGCTGGGGCTTGCTGGATAGCTTCTTGGAGACATGCCCAGTTGGCGGCGTCGGCGTCGGCCACAGCTTTGAGAAGATGCAGGTGCGCATCCCCGAACTTGACCTTTCGCCTTCGAGGCCTGGGTAAGTCTCCTTCGGTGATCATTTCTTGATCCTTAGGTGGAAGGTATTCGATTCCCTTGGCATCTCCAGGGGGCGGTGGCGCATTGGGCACACCCTCCGCTGCTGGTGCTCCTCCTGGGGTCTCTGTTGCACTGGGGACGTCGACACTCTCTTCAACCTTCGTGGGTATCACTTCTTCGCTCTTTGGAAGAGCTGCGGTCGTTTCGGCTTTGGGCTGAGCCAACTCAGCCGTTCTCGCGTCAGGGTCTTCGGTCAGCCCTTCAGTCTTCTCTTGTTTAGGTTCTACAAGTTCTGTAGACGCTCCTGCTGGGATGGCCTGGGCGATTTCCACCTCAGAGTCAGTGCCCCCCCAATCAACTTCCATTTCTCCCTCTGCTTCCCCGGGCGCGAAACGCGCCTCGGGTCCGCCTACGGTTCCTCTGTCGCGAGGTCCACAGCAAGGCCATCTTCGAAGTTCTCGGGTAAGTTGCTCCCGAGGCCTTTGGCGACGTCTATAGGATCTCTTCGGTAATGGGTTTCTTCTCTTCTTCTGGCATGGGACCCCATCTGCCTGTCACTTTGGGCCTGATGGGCAGCGCAGCGCTTGACATCGGTGCTTTGGCAGAGCTCGCTGCCGAGCCATGCTCATCTTCTCGGTCCTCGAGGCTTCTGCCTTCAGGTAAGCCGTCCCACTGGGTGATCCTAATGATTGCGGCTGGCGGTACTGTCGAATCACAGAGCCACACCTTGTTGCCGGTCTTCCGGAACTTGCATCCAAGGTCAACGGCTTTCTTGACATCGATATCTATCCGTGTTTCGAGGTCGACCCGCCACCGCTCTGCGTGTTCCTCGGGGTCGTGGAAGTGGACATCTCGGTCGCCTCTCACCAACCCCTTCTTCTGAATGGACGCAGTGTGACGTCGGTAGCTGCCATGCGCCAGCAAGGCCGGGAGTTCCTCGGTTGGGACCACTGCGGCTGGGCCAACAACTCTCTCCTGCGTGTGGCCCGACCAGGCCGCGACCCACCAGACTGCATCAGTGTCTTGCTTCGCAACGAGTCGGTCCTTTTTGTTCTGGTCGAGTGCTTCCAGCAGCACCCAGTTTTGGAATCTTTTGCAGGACTGATGCGCGGCGAGTTGTTGCCATTTCACCCAACCTTCTTCGCTGATGGGGCACTCCTCGGTGCCCGCCGCATGCCTCAGCACATAGCACATGGGTCTCTTCCTCCCAGGCGAGTCGACAGACTCCCACTTTGTCGGGGAGATTTTCCCCGAGGAGTTGTTGAGCTGCCCAGTGCACTGCCGCATCAGCCAGCTTTCTGGGGGTCGCTTCAAGTAACGTCTTGGGGTCTCCGCATGCGGTGCGTCTGTCTTCCTCCTGATATCGCGAGCTCCTGCCGTGCAACAACTTCGCCGCTTCAGCAGGTGTGATTGTTCGAGCAGCCGGGCCGTTGGGCCCCTTCCCAATCAGCAAAAGCCGATCATCCCTTTCTGGCTGTCACGATCCGTCATGTAACCCTGGTAGGGGTCGGCATGGGTCCCACACCAAGGCCCTTGGTTTGCCAGGGGCCGTGAAAGTGCCAGCTGGTTTCGGCTTGGTGGCCCCCAAAAAGGGCATGCTCGGGTCGATCTTGAGAACTCCAGGTTCCCACATGGCTTTGGGTACTTTGGAGTCTTCGAGGAGCCATTCCACCGGGTACCCCGAGAGCGGTGGTGTGATTGGCTCTGCATCAGCGGTGTTGTGGGGGTATGGTTTGCCTTGCCCAGACTCGGCCATCAAAACCCACCGCTTCCACCATACTTGATCCTTCAAAGTTCTGCCGCAGTTCCAGGCGGAAGAGGGACGAGAACATGGAGAATGGCTCCATTGGTTAGAAGCGATGGTGCTTTCAAGGGAAGTGATCCTGGAGGAGCAGCATCGAGTGCTGGAGGGAGCACGGTGGTCTAAGATTGCAGCAATGAATGATGAAACCACCACAGGTGTTGGCACTTTCTCAAGACCAAGCACGGTGCTTCAAACCTATACAGTTCCTCTCCAACAAGTGCGACGCGAGCTGGGGAAGTGGAAGGAGCCCTTAACGGATGAATATCTCTCGTTGACCTCCAACACCAAGGCTGTGAGACCCACAACGACGGAGGCCTTGAAACTTCATCCCAACTATGCCGAGATGGAAGTGGCACCTGATGGTCATCCCCACGGTGAAAGCTCTGTTTGGAAAACATCGGGCGCGCATGGTCATATGTGGAAACAGAGTTGAATTGGCCGACCCGGAACAAGCAGAAGAAACATAGAAAACCTTCGGTCTCAAACGTCTCTACCAAAGCAAAGAAGACTGTTGTGGAAGATATCTTTCAACCTGAGGAATGAACAAACCCAAGGTATACACCCTAAAAGGTAGTGCAATCAGTGCCACAGACTTCCGTGTATTGCGTGGCGCCACGGACTTCTCTACTTGAGCACCACGGCATATGTTGTGGATTTTGGCTTTAGAGGAACTGCGACTTTCTTCTTCAACGCATCATTGAGATGATTCATAGGATGAGCTAGCTTGTTCAGCGGACTTATCCATAATCATAGTTTTGTATTGGGATGAAAATTCCGCGAACACCGTCAAATGTGTTCTTGTTTTGCTGTCACATTAAGGAATACGTTTTGGAAGGTACCTTTCAACAAATGCCGAAGAATGAACCCTGCGATCTACCGCCTTTAACAGTCCTAAACCCTGCCAAGAACATGTCATGACTTATCAGCAATCCTTTTGACTTGGGAGAAAAGCACATGAACACCATCAACACTTGTTGGTTTTGGACTCAACCAAATGAACGACTTTCGGAGTAAAAGGTTCATGAACTCCCGAAACTGAATGTCTACCAATCATTTGAAACAAAACCAACGGAGTATCTCTCTGTCGACAGCGGCGGTCCTTCTGCAATTGCCTCACCCAAACGGCTTTGGTCTAGGTTCCAGTGGCGGGGCCTTGCAGAGTTCGATGAAGACAAAGTGGGTCTACTTTGCATTGATAACTCAAATTAGAAAACTATCTTGAAATGTTCTTTGAATGCATGTGACTTGTCAGTTCATTACAGTGAAAACCAATTACTGCCTACACGTTCTGACGAAACCCAGACCTGTGAGTTTGAATATCAAGAGAAATCCAGCCTGGCTGAATGGATTTGAACTTCTGGGCAGAACTGATCTCAAAGAATGGTTCTTCATCCTTGAAGGAAAAGCTCCTTGCAACTCCATCACATGGGATGTAGAAGTCCAAGACTTCCTTACCTTGCTGCTCTTGCTGCTTGACATAGACATGGTAGCCGGTGTGTGCTGAATTGGCAGCAAGTCCAACAATCTCTATACCCTCTATACCACCCCACGTGTCTTGCACAAGTTTTCTCAATTGGTGGCCCTTCCTTCCAATGATTAGCAAACACTTGTGCTTGGCACTTGCGTAGTTTGTCTTCGACACATTCTTAAAGCGATTTCGATGTTTTTTAATTTCAGCTGCTCTGCGGGCAGCCATGACCGCTTCAATGGCGAAAGTTGAACCGTCCGGTATTGTACAATAGATGTCAACCTTCCCCATACGTGGGCTCTCCAAACTACTTACGGTTCGAAATCCCAAGCGCTTCAACACGCGAATTAAAGCAAAGGTGTAATGAACCTCAAATGGGAGCTGCTCTTGTGAAACATCAGGTAGAACATTATCTTTCCCTATTGTGGCCACCACCACATCTGCAAAAAGCAAATATGGCAGCGCTCGCAAAAGCAGATCTGTGCAAGAAACTGGGTTTCTGTCTACATCCACTGTCAGCTGCCGCTTGACTGCAAGCACTGAGCGGTAATAGGAAGCCATCAGGTAATTGGCGACGCAATACTTTCTCCCCACGTCTGCCCAATCCAGTCGCTGAAACTCATTTTGCTCCGCCTCCATCTTGTCTTGAGCAGGAAGTACAAAACCACAAATTGTGAGCTCGCGGCGGAGAGATATTGCGATATCATCAGTTGGACCCTCGCACAAGACTTTCATAAATTGTTCTGGTACGTTCTCCAAGCTTGCAAAACGCCCGTTCACACGAATGGCCCGACTAGCCTGAAGTTTCCTCATCAAGCTATCATCTGGGGCATGAATCCAATTCTCTGTGTCCCATGCTAGGCTAGCCTCCCCAAGGGCGCGAGTCAAATTCCACGGAGCGCTGTTCCTGCTCTGCTTTTCCTGCACCCATTCCATGGCTCTCATGAAAATACCTCTGTGTCACAAAGGTTCATAAAGAAATCAATGGCTGTTTCAGACAAATACACATCAGCCTGGGCAAGTTGATTAACAAGAGCTTTGGCATGTGGAATTGGGGGCGTCCACATGTATTTTCCAGTAATTTCCGCAGGTGTTTGTGAGATAGCTCCATGCATGTCCACAGCTTCAGATGCAGCTGATAGCAACAACATCATGGGAGGCTGCAGTAGGTGTCCAGGTTTCAAGAACATGTTTAAGAAGTCCGGACAACTGAAGAGCAAGTGGCACTCATCAAAGACCAGCACCCGATCATTGTCATGTACATATTTGACTGCATCTTCGATGCTTCGTTTCGCTACATCAGGAGCGGCAGGCTCGTTCTCCAAAGCTGCCCTGAACCTTCTCTGCCAGTGCTGAGAGGTTGCATTCCCAGGGGCAACGACTTGCAAATACTTGGATGGTTGTACTGTACAGAGATATTTTGCTAACGTAGACTTGCCGCTAGCCACACCAGCACGAATGAAAACAACCCTCTTCTTTTGCAACAGAGCTTCAAGCTGTTGAACTGTTTCGTCCAAAGGGATGAAGACATCGGTAGCAGGGTCAGCGAGTTTCAGTGCTTCTGGAGTCTCACGTTTGCCACTTCTCACCCTCTTTATCTCCATTGACTCCATTGCCGTGTATTTCACCAGCCGCTCCACAAGGTCTGCTTTTCGCCCTGACACCTTCAAACCCTTCTCGTGCAGCTTTGTCTTCAGTTTTCTCACTGTCAACTTCTCTAGGCTTGCTCTAGTAGTTTCTCTGCCTGAACCTGGTACTGCTAGAGTTTGCGAGCCGTTGATTGGCAGGTGCAAGAAGCACAGCACGACAATCACAATAGCAACTAACAGTTTGAAGCGTGATTGACCAGCTCGTTGGCGGGCCATGGCTTCGAAAAGGAATGTTCCTACCCTTAAACTTTTCTAGGACAGAGGTGACAAAAACATGGTTGACACTCAATGTATCAACTCTCCTGAGCTTGAAAGGTTTGTTCTAGTCCAAAATCCTGTCTGAACCAGAGTGCTTCCCAATTCCATCATGCATGAAGTTTGTCAAGGTGCTCTATCTCGTTCCCGTGGCTCAAATTTGTCATCCAATCTGGACAGCGCAGAAAGAAAACACCAGCGGAAGAGCATGGAAGCACGCAAGTGCGAAACAGGTGACGCTAACCAAATCTCAGCAAGCATGACAAAGAGCAAGCGCACTCACAGGAAGAAGAAACACAAAATGTCATATTATCCTGCCTGAAACAAGAAGAGGTCGATGTATTCAAAATTGGGTTTAAGGTTGTTGGGGAAAATGCCACCGATGGTGGTAAAACCATATTTGGTTTGAGGACAGTTTGGTTCGTGAGAAGCATCACCTCGCCGCGGAAATGAAAAAAACCTGCCTCTGTTGTGCAGAAACGCTATACGGATAGAACCTGGTTCCGTCTTTAAGAAAATGCCACCGGCTTTGGGAAAGTCAGCCACCGACTTTGGGAAAATCAGCCACCCACTTGGGGAAAATCAGCCACGGATTTTGAGAAAAACAGGCTCCTTTTTTGATTGATCTGGGACAAAGCTCAAGTCTCACTGTTTTGAACGCTAAGCATTTGGGTTTGGATTTAGGAATTGAAAACTGGGTGTATCTAAAAATATGTCAACCGGTAGGAAGTTGGAAGGGTAAACTGCTCGAACCTAAAAAATTTGATGTCGAAACTGTTTTGGGGTATGTGTTAGGGAAGCGCAAACTGATATACACAGTTCCTATTGAGGATGAAAATACTTCAACAACTATATTTGCAGTATGCCTTGTTACCTTGTAAGTAGTGGAGTTGAAATCCCGATGACGAATGAAACCTTTGACTTTATTTGGAACGGTTTTGGAAGCAAAGAGCTGACTGACAGCGAACCGGTTTCTTCATCGGAAGAAAGCTATGAAGCAATTTCATCAGTCCAAAAGTGACAAAAAAAGCGCCGCGGACCTTTTCTCTGCGAAAGGTCACTTTGGGCCACTGTCGAGCGAAGCGGAGTCTGTGAACATCTTGACATGTCTGTCGGGTGTAAAGTTTCTGACACCCCACCTAAAAAGTCGTGCACTAGTGCGACCTTTTTCTCTTCTTCAAACTTCACCTTCCATGGCGTAGCGTGCCACTCTCGTCCTCCAGTCATTCTCCCACTGGCGGGGCATCACTGCCACGCACCAGGCCGCAAAGCCTTTCTTGTAGTCCTCATCCCAACCCAGGGCGTGATCAAACCGTAGGAAGGGATAGTGCTCGCCAAACTTGCAGGTCAACCTTGCCTGCACGTACTGCGTGAACTGCGACCTTGAGAAAAGTCCGGTCGCTAGCAGTCGTCTGGCTCTCCGCTCTTCATCTTCGCTCAAGTAGCGAATGCAATTCTCAAGCTTGCTCCAGTCAAGGGCTTCTGGTGGCTCATCTCTCTCATAGTCCTGCCATAGATAGTCATCATCTGGCAAAGTCGTTCCTTCTTCATGCACTTCAGGGTACGCTCCACCTTCATAGGGCACACCTGAATCCACTTGCACCAGCTTCCTCATCTCTCTCTGAAGCTGTTGGCCTGTAGACTCTTCTGTAGCCTTGTTCTGGGCATAGAACAAAGAACTCTTCTCCGCTCTCTGCATCTTCCCTGGACGCTAAGATCCTGTATGGCCTGAGCCTGTGCAGCATTGGGTCCCAATCCGTGAGGTATTGTTCGACTGTCACGTCGTCTCTGTTGCTGCTTGTAGGCTCTTCTTCTCCTTCCTCTTGCTCCTCTTCTCGTGGTCTGCGTCTTGAACTCCTTCTGCTCTGCAAAGAAGCCTCCTCTTCTTCATCAAAGCTTCCTTCTGGTCCTTCACGTTGTCGGCCAACTCTTCCACCACGTCTTCTTCGTAGTGGCTCTGGTAGTGCGGGTGGTGGTGCTCTCACCCATTCACCTCCAGTTGCCTCAACAGAGGCTCGTATTGCCCATTCTCTCAAATCCAGTCCTGACCGTGTTGGCTGTTGGTCGTCATCTCTGTGAAAATCTTCGAACCAATCACCTTGCAGGTAAGGTCTAATTTTCCTCATCCATCTTGAAATCTTTTTCCACTTCGTGTATCCAAGCCACACACCAGCTCCAAACACAATGACCGTGTAGATCAGGAACATCAGGATGTAGACACTCCACCAACCATAGTTGGTCTGGTTCCGGCTGTTGGCGGAATTGGTCGTGAGGTTTTCGTCACTTTCATTTTCTTGTTGTCCATAGGCTCCAGGTTGGAGTAGTAGCAGTGTCACTGCCTTCACCATGGACTTTGAGATCTTGGCCTTTGTCTCACACTTCTCTTCAACCAAGGCACAGACCATCTCCTTCTTCACTTCTTTCATCTTTTGCGCCAGGTTCTTCTTCCGGACTTCTTCATGGAAGGTCTCCTCTCCAACATGGCAGAAAGTCTGGTCGGCACCTTCAACATTCATCTCCATCACACCAATGAGGAACATGAGGAATTCTCTCCTCTGGCGTGACAACCTTTTGGTGCCCAAATCAGCCATGTTCCACAAGGTCGGGATGCCCTCCATCTTCAGGGTTTTCTTTTTGACTTCAAGCTGCATCCACAAGTACCTTGTGTCTATGTGCTTCAAGCGTCCAACTCCAAGCCTTTCTGTGAAAGCTCTGCAGGAAGAACTGTCCGTGATCGTCTTGATCATCACTTCTCTGGTTGTCAAAAACTGCCAAAGCTCCTTCAACTGCAATGCTTCGGCTGCCCCACCTGCAGAAGCTAAAAACTCAGCCTCACAGGACGACAGAGCTATGCTCTTTTGAGACCTTGACCAGGCTGCTATCAGGCACCCATTCAAAAAGATCATCACACTGCTCACACTACTGTGCCTTCTTCTCTTTTTCGAAGATCTGTCACCTGCCCAGTCACTATCACTCCAGCTCTCCAGGGCGTCCACATCATCGAGGCTGTCTGGCTGTAGGAGAATTTCAGCCTTCTTGCTTTTGTACTTGGTGTACGGCAAAAGAATGCCATACTGCTCAGTCCTCTTGAGATAGAGGATGAAGTGTTTCAGTTCATTCTCAGCCTTCTTGGTTGGACTTGCCATGAATTGGCTGAGGTTTCTCACGCTGTGCTGGATGTCCACTTGGTCCTGGGAGATGTACAGCAAAGTTCCCAAAGCGGACCGGAAACGGTGCTGATCCCCACCTGTCAACACATCTTCTGGAGTTCCTTCCAAATCCAGCTGCGTGCTCTCTGGGGTTGCCTTGCCAGCTCTTTGGGACAAATTGTAGAGTTCCACCAGACTTGGCACATACTTCTCATGAGGCGCAATCACGATGCCTTCTTTGGTGAAGCAGTGGCGCTTCTTCAAACAGCGGATTGGTTCATCAGCTTCCTGGTCAGGTTGTGGAAGAATACCTGACTCGCTGATCATAAATTTGTTCTTCATCTTCTCTAAGAACCAAATCAGCTCCACTGTCGATCCAGCCACAATCAAATCATCCACATGGCATACCATGCCCAAATCTTTCTCCTTGTGCCGGAAAAGCGACGGCAGGGAAAGATGGTTTTCCATTCCCAATGCCTCCAAGGCTTCCTTCAGGTAGTCGAACCACCTCGAAGCCGCATCTCGCTGGCCTGGAAGGCACCTGGCTAATCGCCAGTATCTTTTGGCTCCACTTGAACTTTCTTCCAACTCCTCAGGCTTCCACCATGCTGGTTGCTCTACCAGTACCAACTTTGTCTGAGGTACCAGCAGGAATTGCGTCCTTCACATCGATGAAGCTCAGCTTCCATTCCAGGATTGCATGGGTAGCCAGCAGAAGCCGTGTAGCTGCTAAGCTTGAGGTTGGAGCGAAGGTCTCAGCCATTGTCTGGTCGTTGCCTCTAAACTCCCTGGCAACATATCTGATTCTCTTCCATTTTCCATTTCTCACCCTCCAATCAAAGACTGACCTGGTAGTGAGGATGCTTCCATTCTCCAAGTCTGAGGTGCTTGGTTCTTTTAGCACTCCCATATCGAGCAGCCTCTGTATCTCTTCTTGTCCTGCTGCTGCCTCAATCCTCTCCAATTCAACTGGCCCCACCTCCGGTGGAGTTCCCTCATCAATCACTTCTTCAGACAGGAGCTTCTCCATCAAGAGCATCTCATCACCACCATCAAAGTCTGCTACCTCCTGCTCCCATTGGAATTCGTCAACTGCTCGTTCTTCTACTTGTTGTATTCCACCTGCAAAATGCGGTCTGAACAGGGAAGTAGGACTTGACGAAGCACTTGTCCTTGGTACTTTTGTTTTGCTCTCCTCAACTCCACTATCATCTACCATCTGATCGGCCTCCCTTCGACGAAGAGGGAGTTCTGGAGTTGTTGGTGCTCGCTCACCTGCATTGGCAGTCTCATCATCAAGACCAAGAGGTAGTGGAGGTATGCAAACATACTTGTCTGCTGATTGGTTCTCTTCTCCTCCTTCTGCAGGATGTTTCTGTCCACGCTTGGGCATTGCCTCCTCCTGTTGCTGTGGTGTTCCTCCTGGATGTTCCAGGGCGTACTTCTCAAGTAACGACACTGATGATGTTTATGATGCTGTAATGGAGTGTTTCAAGGTATTAGGTCAGCCATTATCAGTCTATTCTGACGACGAAGGAGCATTAAACAGTAAGAAATTACAAGCCTATTTTTCAAGGAGAAGGGATAGAGCACATAATAACAAAATTACACGCTAATCAGGCTAAGAGCAAATAAAAATAAGACTTGGGTAGATATGTTAAAACCTTCACTAAATAGATACAATACTCAAGTTCATAGTTCAACTAAAATGAGCCCTAACAAAACGCACGACCATAAAAATGCGCTTGAAGTAAAGTCTAATCTTGTTTTAAAAAACAACACAATAGGAAATACCCAAGCATTAGGGAGGGAGATTATGTTAAAGTATTTGATAAAGGCAAAGGCAACTACACTTCAAGA